AATGACAGCTAAAGTAGAGCAGATCAAGTCTTGTTTGCATTTGGACACTGTAACATTAAAACAGTGCAGTAGGAAGATATTAGTACAAATCTCACTGGAGCCTAGAACAGTGGAAAAATGGTAGGGTGGAAGGGAAAGGACTTGCATAAAGTTTGGGAAAGAAAGGTACTTTGGTTACTACGAGCTACCATCTACCTTCAGCAGTGGGTAGCAGCACGTGGTAAATGGAGGTTGGAACAGTATAGATGCACTTATTGTAAATAAAGTACATACTTTTCATTTTTAGCTTATATTTTCCTGGTCTAGATAGAGGAGAGAAAACAATTATCCTGTGGCAGAGAACATTGCCTTCTTCTTTGTTAACACTGTAGTGAAATACAAAAAAAAAAAAAACAAAAAACAAAAACAACAACAACAAAAAATATTGAAACCAATTCCTGTCTTCTGTTCCAGAACTTTCCCTTTCCAGGTCAGTGGAGTGGTCTCCTCAAAGATGTTGTAATTTAATTGGGTGGTGGTGGGGTGATTGATGGTCATGTAGGAATCCAGTCTAATGTTTTCTACGTAGATTTCCCATAGTGGCAAACTGTTCTGTGGGAATGTAATTGTATAAGAATTCTAGGGGCAGCAGAGGGCATTTCAAGGAGATTCCTTCCTTTCTTTGGGTTTTGTCTTCATGGTAAAGTGGCTGAAACATTAATGGCCAAAGAGCACTTCTCATCCAGTTGTGAAAAGGCATTTAACTTCTAGTGCTCAAAAGCTTTTCAATTTTAGGTAATGTGCCTTCTTCATTCATATTTGTAGAGATGCTACATGCCACATGTACATGTCCTGCAGTTTATCGTGGCTCTTTAGGAAATATATTTGCCTTTCCAAATGCAATTTCATTCAAATCAGGGTGTGCTGGGAAATATGCAGAGCCACCAGGCCACAGTTTCTGATAGATGAGGTTTGTTATGCAGGAAGGAAAAAGGCCAGGAGACAGTTAAGTAGTCTAGAGGCTATTTGTAATGAACCTGTAGCAAAACTTGCAGACTATTTGGGCACAGTAGCCTCTAATAAGTCTCATTTTCTCTTGATTACTTCTGGTTCTATGACAAATGGCCTCAACAAAGAAATATTTAGAGGCCCACTTTGTTTTGGGTTTGTTTTTCCTTTTCTTTTTTTCTCTTTAAGCAGTTTTAGTCCTTCTGAGTTTTTTAAAGTTGTTGGAATTATATGTATATATATGTGTATATATATATATATATATATATATATATACTGCTGTTGCAAAATAGCTGGCTCTAACACCACTTGCATCTAGAAGAAAATGTATCTATTTGCAGGCAAATAACTAGTTCTACTTTGACTGTTATGTACTCCCAGCAGATATCTGAGAGTGAGTTATGACTACATCTTCTCTTGTCAGGTTGTATGCTGGTCAACAATGCTGGCACTTTGCATTGGATTGATATGGAAACCTGTAGTAGTATTTTATCATGCATCACATTTTGTGTTCCTGTTATTCTTTCTAAAGAAAAGGTATGGCAGGAGTCAATAAACACTGGGTCATGTTAAACGTGGTCCTGTGCAAATCTTTTTGGTCTCGTGTCTTCCTGGGGCTAGGGTTGCAGTGGGCACACACAATGGCATTTGGCTGGATAAAGTACTGCACAGAGGTGACACTGTCAGCAGCAGCTGCCTCTGTCCCAGCGGCCAGGGCAGAGCTCTGTTTGCTGCCATCAGATTGGCATGTTCTCTTGGTCACTTCCTGCTATTCTGAAGTTATGTACATTTCTACCCTTTTCTTGAAATGCTTATATGCTGTCACGTTTCTGTTGAACCAGATAATGTTCTCACGAGTCAATTGTCTTCTGATAGCTTTATTTTTAACAACATCCATTTATACCTCTGCTACTCCTTCAGACTGAATCCCAGAGTTTTCTCCTGCAGCTGTGGGGGAGGTTTCTATAAGGAAGTTGAATTAAAGCCAGAATATTTTCACTTAGCTGTTGTAACAGAATAATATCTTACAATGAGCTGTGAACTATTCTGATGCTTTTGCAATGTTGTGAATGGTAAGATCTACCCAAGTGAAACAGTCTGTCTATTGTGGAGGGTTTGGATTTGACTCTCAGTTTTTGGGTGGTGGGGAACAATTCTGGGTGACTTATCATTTTAATTTCCTTTAAACATGCTAGTTCTATGAAGGGGGGCTCAGAGCACATGGAGAAGACCCTGGGAAGCAAGGGAGTTTCTTCTGAGCTTACTCATTACTAAGGGAGGTTTATAGGGAGAACTCTGGATGAAACTGGCTGTTGGCCATCCAGCTGCCAAGAACCTTGCTGTCTTTTCTCTCAGTTTGGACTAAACCTTCTCCAAAGCAAATATGCTTATATTAAATTTCTATCTTACAGCTATTTAGGGGTCCCCTTTACTCCCCCACCTACCCAAAGGGATATGGCTAAATATATTTGCACTCAGCATTCCCATGACTCCAGAGAATGCATCTTGTATCAGAGACTGCAGTGTGGAAATTACAAAGCAGCACGACAGTGGAAGAGAGTAGTAAAAATGGATTTCCCTTTCCCACACAATTTCGTTTCTGTGGAATATTTCCACTTCAGGGAGTTAGAAAAACTCCCATTCACTTTCACGAAGCATAGAAACGTTTTTTTCCTGCCTATCAAAAAAGGATAATTTCATCTGTATGTCCTTATCTCAGTAGTGCTGGGGCTACTAAATAAATGGCAGTAGGTCATATAGATGAACTACAGTCCCAAAATCAATTCTGGTATGGAGACACCCAGGCAGTGGCAGCATGCTGCTGTGCTCATTTGCTGACCAAGCAGTGGGGAAGAACTTGCTGCAGTGGGAGAGGAGGCAGTTAGTGGTGTCTGATCTAGGCCAGTATTCCAGAGGCTAACAGACCAGGAGGGGAGGCAGGTGGGAGCATATTAGTTCCTTTAATTTTGACAGTTTCTCAGCTTATACCTGATGAGACCCTTGTGCTATAATACGTCAAAGTAACAAGATCAGAATGGAGCTTTAACTAGAGCACTGGGGATGAGGAAAGATCACCAAACAATGGAGCCAATGCATTTAAACCGACAGGCTTCTGCACCTGGATGTGTCCCTTTTTTTCCCAACTGTGTCAGTTTGATTAATAAAAATCACTGTGTCCCCTTGCAAGCTTTGCCCCTCTGATGTCACTATTGCTATTAATAAATTCCAGAAACATGAAGTTGAGGCAGTTTCCCAATCCCTTATGCCCCATGATCTACGAAGAATTGCTGCAGCACAATCTTTCAAACAGTATCATGCCGTATGCAGTCCTGCAAAATCTCAACTGGAAAACTATCAGCCAAATTCTCCAGCTAGCAAATAAGTGGCTGAAGGGACAGCACTGTTCAGAAGTGTTGGGAAAAGCTATCTCAGCCCCCTTTGCCCTGTGGTGCTATTGGTGTCATTGAGGAAGGCCACTTTGGTTGTTCCTCTGCTAGCAGGGTGCATACCAGCAAGAGGGGAGAGCAAGTATGGACTTGGCACAGAAGTTAACTGTAGGGCAGTGCTGCAGGCTCCTGGGGTGAGGGAGAAGGTTCTCTAGCAGTCTGGAAATAGTGGGCACCAGCATGTTATCCTGGAGCTGCAGGAGAGCTTGGGGCAGCTGGGGAAGCCCACCTACAAACCTGAGAGTGGGAGCCCGAGTGTCTGGGCTTACAGCGTGTAGCAATGACCTCCCTTGCTGCTGGCACAGAGAGTTAATTAATTCCCAGCTCCTGCCAGGATGCTGGGCTGGAGACACCCCCCAACCAGAGGTCTCTTTCAAAGCATTATGCAAGTGGGTGTAGGAGATTTGCATAGGATGAGCTAGCAGCACAGCAAAAAGACCCTGGCCTGAGAAGAGATGAATCTCTATTTTGGGGAAACATCTGTCCCAGTACTGCAGATTGGGCTGGAGCTATGCAAAGAGGTGGCTTTCCCCCAGCTTCAGTGTCACAGGCAGCCTGTAACAGGTAGGCTGGTGTGACACTCAGCAGTGCCCCTCCCTTACGTGTACCCTAGGTACCCAAACTGTCCTGCCAGAGAGCTCACAGATTGTTCCTCAACAGAGGATGCTGAGTTCTTATAGCTGATAAAAGATGACATTACTGACATCATTCCCTCTTGCTTGCTCTAGCACCAGTACAAGGAACCAGCTGCATCTCCATGGTGCTGTAACAGACTCAGCAGCTGCTGCTTGCGGGAAGTTTGGAGATGAAAGCATCCTGGGTTCCTCCAGTCCCAGAGAGCTGTGAGTGACTGTTTGTTTCTCTGAACAGCCAGAGGGAAGCGTCATTTCCAAAGGGAGTTAATTTTAGAAAACTCAGTCGCACTCCTAGTAGCAACTAATGTTGATATTATAAAACAGTTATTTTTTCCTAAAAAGACTGCGAAGTAAAACAACATAGCACATGTTTTGAGAGGAGAATAGTTTAGACAGCAGCAATTTTTCCATCAAGCCTTTGTTATGGCTCAGATAACCTTCCAGGTTCTTTTCCTAGCTACGAGAGGAAAAACTTGCTAGGTTTCCAGTGCACAGAAGGGATTAATTCCCTCTACCAAGGCTGACATAGGAGCTATGATCTATAGGCTGATCTATAGCTAAAAGCATTTACTACTCCAGAAAGGCACATCTTTGAAGTTAGTTCTGGGTTTGGCTTTTTTTTTTTTTTTTTTTTTTTTTTTTTAAACTTAGGTAAACTGGAAGAGAGGAGAGTTAGACAGATGCAGAAGTACATCACCTACCAGGGATGCCAGATTTACTAAGCTTTCCTAGAGCCATTCTCAGGAGGGACCAGGCTGATGTGCTATAGTCAGACACAGCTGTGGTTCCATGGGCCCATGTGCGCCATTCTCCTGCCCAGCTCTCTGCTAGCTGTACTACAGCACAGCATTATTGCCTACACCTGAGACCCCCATGAAGTAGGGACAAAAGGGGTGTGGTTTGGATTTAGCTCAGCTGCAGGTCATGTCTCATCATGTGCTTTTCTGGGGCAAAGCACAGCCCTGGGGTGGTTTATAGCAGGTTCTGGAAAATATATTTCTGGAGCCTCTTCCCAAGGAAGTTAGTGCTTTTTTGGTGGCTGTATAGACTGTTCAGAAGGAGTAAGGCATAGCTGTGTGTCTTTGTGTGGTTGTGAGGTGTGCATCTGTCCTACCTAGGAGCCCTGTGTTAGGTTTTGGGCCTGATCTCAGGCACTGAGGGGAGAGGACCAACAATGTGCAAAGCTGTAGTCAAGCTGAAAGGCTTCTGATATTCAGGAGGACTACATAACTTCACTATTCAACCTATAAGGTAATTATATATTTATGTTTTTTTTCATATTAGGCAATTAGTTGTACAATTTCCAATGATGTGCAAGTTACTGATGATGATTGATGCTTTTTAAATCCCAAAACAGAGAATGCAACTCACATTAAGTTGGAAAAGATGTCTGTTTTAATGTGTGTTGTATTCAAGGAACCTAAGAGAGAAAGTAATCAAGATTTGATTTCCTTTTTGAACACGAAGTGAAAGCATTTCCAGAAAAGTAAGAAAAAACAATTTAGTGCAGTTCTTCAGGCAGGGAGAAAAACAGGCTTCTTCAAGCAAGAGGAGAATTGGAGCTCCCACGTTGTGGTTAAGCGCTGTCTAAGTGGCTGATCTGTTCCCAGAACAGTAAGTTGTTGTACAAAATAATTATATGCAGTATACAGAGGGGATAAAACAGTGATATCCTTGCTGTTTGCCTTTCTGTATTTAAAGCCTGGTGTGCGGGCTGTCATGGTAGTTCATAGGATTTGTGGGTGTGGTGCTGGGGCTGTGCTGTGTGTTGCAGGTCCTGGTCTGTGACTGGTGGAGCAAGAGTGGCTGCAGAAGGCCACTAGGTCTGGTTAGGCTATGACCTTAGGGGGGTGTTGTGGAATGCAGCCACAGTGGGATGTTCTTTATTTACTAAACACTGTAGTTAATGTAACTTTGACACATTTACTACTTTTACAGTAGTTCACTGGATGCATCATTGCTGTGATGTACAACATTGCTCCATGTACAGCACAGCTCTGATCAGGAGAGGTAGTATCTGTTGTTAAGATGTACCAGTGGCTTCTCTTGTGTGAAAGGAAGGAAAAGAAGTAAGACATCTGAACAGACATGTAGTGAGCAAGGGAAGAGGCTTAGCAGACTTAAGCTCAGCTGTCTTCAGAGAATTTTCAAAAGCTCACTGCAAACACTTCTGTTTCAAAGCTTATGCTCCTTTATCTATAAGAAGCTAAACACTGGCTAATTCTTTAATTAGTTCCCAACAAGATGTTTTTCTCTGTAGCCAAGGCTCACAACGGGATAATTATGTCTTTAGTTTTAAAACAAATGTCAACACAAAAGTTATTTTGATTTCTATCTTAAAATGTTTATTTTTGCTTGCACTCCTAGTGTTGGCCCTCACCTGCAGGTATCTCGCTTTGGTTTGAGAGACACTGAATGCTTTATTTTCAGCTCCTTGTGCTGTTGTCCCTGTGCATGGATATTGTGGAGCTGAATCTGCTGTGGCAAGCTCTGAGCTACCATTGTTTCCAGCTCAGCTGATGCAGACCCTGTTAACGTAGCAATCAACACACGTGGCTCAGAGTGCCCAAGTGTAGGTCACGCCTCGTGACAGAGATATACGTGCAGAGCTTCCTGGGCCCTCTATGAAGCATGGTATAGGAAAGTGGAGCTGTCTCTCTGTTCTTAGTTGCTCGTGCTGTGAAGCAAGATGCCAGTGTTCTGACACCAGGCTTGCCCAAGGAGGCTGGCTTCGTTCACACACCAGAAGATCCCAAGTACTCAGCTTTACAGTGCGTGTCCTTTTGATGAGAGATCATAGCCTTTGTGGTTAACCCACTGTGGTTTCTCCATTTCCTAGGGAGCAAACGAATTTTTGTTGATTCAAGAGTAAATTTATCTGAACTGGAAAATTGCAGTTCAGCATTCCTCAAGAAAGTTGTGAGAAAAAATTGCTCTCCTATTAGTCAGTTGAGGGGGAAGGGGGCAGGGAGAAGATCAGAGACCTACAGAACATGACCCTCTGGGACACCTTAAAACAGTGATTGTTTCTTCTAGGAATAAAGAGAGTGGGGAGAAGGATGAAGTGAAAGCACAATTAGTCTTAAAATGCAGAAAAAAATTACTACGAAGAATAAGGAAATAGTTTGTTCTTCATACCTGTGTCAGATGACAACAGTAATGGGATAAAATCACAGTAAGGAAGTTGCTGGTTAGCCACTAGGAAAAGCTTTCTTAAAGCTGGGATGCCGAAGCACTGTGCACCTAAAAGGGCTATGGCGATACCACCATCAGAGGTGTGGCTGCAGAAACTTCTACCAGGAGTGATGCAGGTGGAAGGGATTATTTTTTTTTTTCCTTTCTCTTTTTCTGGGAGCAGTTTCTGCAGCAATAAGGTCTCTGTTGCTTTTGTACCCAGGGGCTGGTTGTGCCATCTCATGCTGGGTAAGAGGATGACATCACTCATGGCCATGGTGGGGCAGGGGTCCTGTTCAGTTCAGGCAGGTTACACTTACCCTATTATTTGATGCCTAAATCTTCTGAAATAGTGCCTAAGGCTATGGATTGTCTTCCTCTTCTTCCTGCCTAAAATTGAGGAGCTAGAATTCAGATCCTGGTGCCCCTTTTGGACCTCAAGGTAGAGCCAAGAACAGATATAGACCAGGGTTACATCCTGTTTTCACTCCTGCTCAGCGCATCTGTGCAGCTGATTGGGCTCTGTTTTCTGTGAGAGGCTGACTTTTAGGTCGCTTTCAATTATTCTTCACAAATGGATGTAATATTAGGGGGTAAAAGGGAGCAAGGAGGAAATATACACTGGGTTATCTAAAGTTATCCTTTGAGAACATATGAGATCTTGAAGGGGGAAGCTGCTTTCTCTCCCCCCCACTTCATGTTCTGGCTAAAGAGAAAGAGGCATATCCACATGGAAGTCAGCATTTGCTATTTCTGTTGAACATTTTACTTCCCTATGCAAAGCTGTGTTGATTTGCAAGTATATTGCAAATAAATTCTCACTTGAGTCATTAGTCCTTTCAGCACGTGTGAATGGAAATGTGTTAACTAACATGACTGTAAATGCAAGCAGTTGGGATACTAGCAGTTGAGCCTAGGTGTGCTCATAACTCAAATACTATGGTTTACTCTTGCAGACTTGCTTTGACTTTTAGAACTGGCAGTCTGTCAAAATTTTGTATAAGGTTGGGACCTATAGTTTTCTGGCTGCTATAAATACATTAATATCATAAGCCAAATGTTTCCCCCCTTATTGTTAATGTATTTCCTTTGCTTAGTCTCTGTGAACGTGCCCAGGGAACACAAGAAAATTGTTGGAGTCTCAGCTTCCTTCCATTCCCCTTGTCAGCAAATTGCAGTCAGAAGATGTAGATGGGGCCATTTTGGAGGATGTGGGGGCTTCTCCTGTCTCAACAGATGATGTATCCTCTGCAGGCAGGCTCAGCTTTTTGGGTGGGATGGAAACATGCTGCCATCCCCTCTGTTATTACACTGGGCTCCTGTGTGCCTTTGCACTGCTGTTCACAGAGATACTTTGCCTGCCACTCAGTAGCCTTGGGGTGGCACATTGCAGTCTTGACCAGAAGCAGAACAGTCACCATCAAACTGCATGTGCAGGTCCAGTGCCCTTCAGTTTGCTGACTTTTTCCCTTGTAGCAAACAGGAGTTCTCTTCTTCACATCCAACGATTCTGGCAGTTATTGACATTACATCAGGTTTAGCAAAAGAGGTCCGGAGATGAGCAGGCACTGGATGACCTTTGCTTGAAAAATGAGTCTTGCAAATAAAAACTAAAGTGCAGGAGAGGATTGTGACATGGCTTTTGTGTGGGCAACGTGCAAGATTGCAGCTTTTTCGTACTGACAGCTTGAATGACATTTGGATATGTACTTGCGATCTTGAAACACGCTTGAAATGGAGAACTTTGTTGCTATCCCACCCCATCTTCCCAGAGCACCTAATGCTCTGCAAGCCATTGGTCAGCTCTTTTTTTCATGGCTCTGGTTGAAATTATTTTCTGTTGGTATTGAAGAAGAGCTTGCTTTACGTGGCTGTGCAGCAATGCTTCTGTGATGTGTGAAAGTTTCTTATTAGAAATATGTCAGGACCTAAAGCAACATACTCTTGTAATCTATTTAGTATGACTCCTGGACAGAGAATAGTAGGAAAGTCATTTGAAACTTTTATCTTTGTTCTCAGCAGTAGTTAATTGCGCAGATCAGTGCTTAATTTGTTCTTTCAAATATCAGTAGAGTGATGATGAGAAGGTTCAATAAATCAAACATGGAAGTGTTGCCACCAAGTGGTACAAGCTGTGTTAGGCAATGTCTCTTCTAGATCACAGTGATGAATCTGAGATGCTCTGATGAATTTATAAAATAAGATTTTTCTTTCTTTTTTTTTTTTTCTTTTTCCTTTGCTTAATTTTTCTTTTACCACTGTGAGAATTAAAACGTATCAGAAATGATCGTACTAGCACCCCAGTGCAGTCATGGGGTGCATTGGCCACCTCTTCCTGCACTGGGTGGAGCTGCAGGCAGTGGAGGAGCAAATGTGAAAGGTCCCCAGGATACAGGACTGTTCAGACTATCCTTGATGCAGTTCTGTCTCATTGGGTGCAGCATATTCCTTCTTCCTTAACCTTGAGTGTGAGTGAAGAGAGCAGTCCTGGAGGGGGACTGTGCGCCTTGGCCTGGAGACTAACCAAGCACTGTCCTAGCCTGTCCCTTTACTGTCCAATGCAGCCACTCCTGAGTGACTTGGAACACTTGGAAATAATTTCCATATTTATATAGTTTTTAATGGCAATGATGTGAGTGCTGAAGTGTTTTGTTTTTCAGCTAAATTACTAAGCGTGCTGTACTTCAGCCGCAGGTTTCTTTACTCTGCTGGAGCTAAATAATGCCGTTTGTCTGCCATTTAAAAAAACTAGGTTTAAAAAAAAGTCAAAAGAAGAATTTTGCAACACAAGAGAACCAGGGGGATTACTAGGGGCTGCTCTGGGGGGGG